CAGGAGAGCTGTTGCATTGTGGGAGGCTACAGTCAATGTCATAAGACAAATTATATGTGAACAGCCATATGGAAGATGAGTTTGCTCTGTAAACTTTCACCCAAAGCATAATAAATTTAAAAAAAAAAAAAGGTGAACAGTAAAAACCTACCATTTGTTTACAAAGGAAATATATACACATATTTGCTTATAGACACATCAGATAGCTTTCAAAAGAACGTACATGATTGTGAGGAGCAGTAAGTGGCAATGGGACAGAACTAGGAAGGAGACTTGACTTTTTTATACTTTCTGAAATCTGAATTGTATGAATATATTTACTATTCAAGACTTTCAAATGAAAGATACTTTAAGAAAAAGCAGGGGTGAGCATTAATCCTCTGGGTAGGGAGAGTAGTGAGATCACTGTCCTTTATACCAGTAGAATGAAGGCCTAGCCTAGAGCATATGAAGAGGAGGGACAAATAGAAGTCTGAGATATAGACATTGTGTCACAAGACATTGTGACCAGATGCGGAGAGCAGAGAGGATGCACAGCTCTCAATCTCTCAGGAGCTGGAAAAAGGAAGGGATTAGAAACAGAGGACCTAAACACCTCCCAATTCTCCCTAGATTCTAGATAGCTTTCTCATTTATGTCCTTAAAAACTGGTAATTTCCCACTTATTCTTTAAACATTAAATGATGTTGCTGATTACTTCCTTTCTCAAACTCTCCTTTTCTGACTTTAAAGACCACTTGCACTAATCCTGATCGCTTTGGTATTAATAATCTTTCATCTCCAGTCCCACTATTTCCACCAAGTGTTGGCCTCACATTTCTAATGGCTCAGTACATTTCCACCTGACTGTGCTGTGATCTCAAACACAATTTTATTCAAAACTCAACTTAGTTTTACAAAGCTGCTCCTTAATTAATGTCTTTGCTTCTGTTCGCGGCAACAGAACTCAAAGAATATAAATCTCTCAACCGACAAACACACCAACCTACCTTCTCAACACTTCTCTGCACTACCTTAGGCTTCAATCCAAGTAGACTTCTCACTGTTTGATAAACTCACCCTTGCCCTAATCTCCACCTCTGCCTGCCTTTCTCTCCCTCTGAAAGGCCCCACCAAGCCTTGTGTTGAGTGTCTTATTTACGTATCATTTACAATTCAGCACCACAAGGCTATGATTATGAAGTAGATACTATTTTGTCTTTACTTCACAAGAGAAAATGATCTTGGAAGGGCAATTGACTTGTCCACGTAAGTGAGCTCTGATGTTTGAATGAGGCAGTATGGATCCAAAGACCATGCTCTTAACCCACTAGGTAACAGTGTTACTGAGTTACTTGTCATAATCATCCTACAGGAAGACTAGTAATTTATTCCCAAGTTACCAATGAGTTCACTGAAGCTCAGATAAATTAAGTAACTCACTTAAGCTCACAATGCCTGAGAGTGAGGGTGACCAGACTGGCATTTCTTTTTTTTTTTTTTCTCTTAAACCCCACATTAGGGTACCTCTCCACAGCATTTTGCTCCCATTCTAGAACCTAAACTACAATGGTAACCATTTCCAAAAGGGAGGAGAAATGGCACAAGTGCTAGTGTCAATAAGGGACTCATGGGAAGAACTTGAACTTGGAAGCAACATAAGGTTCACAACCCAAATAGAGTAATTTCCTGATCCATCCAGATTCATTAGAGTTCTGTGTCGGAGGCAGTCTTATGGCACACTAAACAAATATCCTAAGAAAAATAATCTACTTCAAGCCATTAATGATGTCAGCTCTTCAAACAAGACTGAAAGCTCAGTAGAGCAAGAATCCTATCTGTTCAGACATTCTGAATGGAGTAGTGATCTGCAGTAATCTCAACTTGTGGGAGTTCCTTACCCCACATGCTCTTCATGAGTGGACCAGAGGATGCTTCTTTTCCTGAGTCCTAAGATTTCTAGAGAAAACAAACTAAACAAGAATCAGCCCAAAGCAAAAGTTATTCAACACACAGTTCATGGTAATTTCTACTTTACTTGAGCAACCATAACCAAGATTACATCCATGAAGAAAATGGCCAGTTTTATTTCTACATCACTGCTGTTCTTGTTTAGGTGCCACAGAGTCAGTTCCTACTCACGGAGACCCTGTGTACAACAGAATGAAACACTGCCCGGTCCTGTACCATCCTCAACAATCGTTGCTATATTTGAGCCCAGCTCATAAAATTCAGGGGTCTTGGAAAAGTACCCTTCCTCTAAGTGATCTAGAAATAAGTTTTCCATGTATGGTAATGATAAATACCAAATTCAGAATGGTGGTTACCTCCAGAAAGAGAGGAAAGGGTTGGGGAGGGGTACACAAGTGGCTCAACTGATAGGCTGTGATTCCTAACTTCACACATAATGGATTCTCAGGCATTCCATACATTGTCTATCGTTTTTTGTATGCCTCAGTGTTATATACAAAAAAGATTCAATTTTTGTCAGTTTATCAGAATTAACCTGATCATTCCCCTTCTCTATTTTACTGTGATGCAATGGCACGTGCTTTAAATTTTCTTATGAAAGAATGAGACCAGAACTGAGCATACAACAATTAAAGTAGCAGTTTAATCTAACTTTTTTACCTTGCCTTGCGTTCTTTTCTGAAAGAACAGCTGGTCTCTAAATTAAATCAATATTCAAACCCCATCCTTAAATCAATCAGATGTGTTTTGGGGAAAATTCCTAGATGAGCTCTTTCTTAAGCAAGACATGAGGCTGGTTATGTAGCTATCATTTTGTGCATACGTCCTGCCCCCTTGGAACCAAAGAGGAATTCTACTATTCACCTAAGGGTGGAGTCAACAAAGGTGATTTAATTCAAGAAACATTTATTGAGCATCTACTAAATGCCAAGTGCTAGTAATCCAACGTGAATAAGACAAATACTACTCTTGTCCTTAAAGCTTACAGCCTAGTGAGGGAAGTCTCATCACTAGAAATAAAGGTGAGAATAAGATACTTAGGGAAGTGATCCAGTTACTACCTCAAAGGGCATCAGAAATTAGGGAGGTTAGAAGAAAATGAAAAGATTTTAAAGCCTTTTTATCACATTCCAGTCTTTCCCAGAAAAATCAGCAGTAAGACCTTTGCTACAAAAAGGACCTGTGAGTTTGGTTTCGGAGACAGTAAGGTGGACTGTCACCAAGTACTCTGAGGGATAAAGTGAGTGGTTACAGCTACAAAGAGGAAATAGGCAGAATCCCTACAGCCAGCTGTCAAGAAGAATCGAACACAAGTGTGTCTGTAAGCTCTTTCCGGTTGAAAAAAAAAAAAGTTTTCCGTGTTCCTACTTGTACAATTTTCTGAGAGGTTATAAGGATATTTAAAATGACAGAAACACATCTATAAAAAGATGAATTTCTTCAGGACTGATTGTCCAAGTTTTCTGCTTTAACCTACATTAAGCCTTCCATATTGAAGGTTTCAAATAAACTTAGGCAAGTTTGATAATTTGCGAGCGTTTAGCCTCAGAATATAGAGAATTTAAAGGTCTTGACTCCCACCACAATACATACCGAAGCAATAGTGAAAAAAAAAAGGTAATCATGTAGCAAAAGTCCTCTGGAAAAAATAAATAGGTTAAACCCTTTCACAAAAGGATGAAAGAGAATGAACCTAAAGAGGACCCTAAAAATCCATCAAGGTTCACCTGTTGTTTACAAGGGACCGGAAGTATCCTCAACAAATGCAGTTCATAAAGAAGCCCATGCAGGAATATCCGGTGGTGACTAAAGGAGGCATCACCCTAGAAGTTAAGAACTGCTTCCAGGGCTTAAACTCCATGTCCGGGAAGGGTAAAGGGTCTGATCTGAGAAGCCCAGGCTGCCCCTGGGAGTCTCACTACAGGTACCTACTGCCTGCGGGAGGCTCGCGGTCAGTCTGGCGCGAACTGGGAGCAAACCCCACATTTTCCTGCAGGAGGCCCTACAAAAATGGCGTCGGCTCCACCCCAATGTGACCAAACTGGGAGACAGGAGTAACTTCCCAGCTCTTCTCCAGAGCTCAGAATCGCGTGCGGCCCCCCAGGCGCGTGTAGGAAGGGAAGGTTGGAAGGTCACTGCGGCCCCCGCAACCCGCAGGAAGTGAGAAGGGACAAAGGGAATCTGGCCGAGCAGAGTCCTGGTCTCGGGGTCCGGGCGGCATTACCTTTATTCTTAGGCATGGCGGTGAGAGCGGCCTGGTGGCGTCTTCTCCTTTCCCGGCGGCGGCGGTGGTGGCGGCGACTCCTCCGAGGGAGCGAAGGTTGACGAGGGGATGCGCGCGGTGACGAGGAGGAGCGCGCGAGACGAAGCAGGCGTGGGAGGCCGGGTCGCGTGCGCGGGAGAACCTCACGACCGTGCTCTTCCGAGATCCGCTTGCGTCTACATTCGGCGGCAGCAAATGGCGTCGCGGCTGCGTGCGTCCCTTTTCCCCTCCTACCGCCGCAGCTCGGCCCGCCCCCGAAGCCCACAGCGCAGGCGTAGCTCCCAGTCATCTATTGTTAGAATGAAATGAGACGCGCATCCGCCGGGTTTGCCGCAGGCCAAAGCAGCGGGGCGGGGGAGAGGCTGAGAGCAGAGAGGGGGCGGAGTCAGAGATTGGGGAGGGCGTGGCCATGGGAGGTGTGTCATAATTAAGGGCGCATTGAGGCTCTCTCACTGCCGGCGGATGTTAGATCTCTGCTGCTTTGTGACAAAATTATCCAGTTTGACAAGTTGCTGACTCATTAACTTACTTCATAGTTAGCTAAGTTTTAACATAGCCCTTTCTCCCACCCAGGCAGGATAAGGGTCTGGGGAAAGGGGAAGACGACCCTGTCATCCGTTACCAAAGCGTAATATCTGCAAGACGCTTGTTATTTTTCAAGTGTCTGCCTCCCTTGCAAAAGAGCTCTGGTGGTGTAGTGGGTCAAGCTTTTGGCTGCTGACCAAAAGGTGTGCGGTTCAAAACCACCAACTGCTTTGCGGGAGAACAATGAGGCAATCTGTCTTGCCTTGCTATGGGGGGGTCGCTGTAAGTCGGAATCAACTGGATAGCAGTGGATTTCGTTTTGTTTTAGGGTCTCCCCTCCAAGAAGCCCTGGTGGCGTAGTGATTAAGAGCTCCACTGCTAACCAGAAGGTCGGCAGTTGGAACTTACCAGGTGCTCCTGGGTGAAAGATGTGGCAGTCAGCTTCTGTAAAGATTTATAGCATTGGTAAAGCCCTATGCGTCAGAATCAACTCCAAGGCGACGGCTTTGGGCCTTCAGGTCTTCCCTACGGAGTCTCTGGTTAGTGCTAACAATTAGTTTGCTTGCGTTTACTGGCTTTCAACAGAAAATTTGGTAGTCTGGGTCCACCCAGAGGCACCGTGGAATAAAGACCCTATGGAGCATACTTCTGTTCTAGCATGTGGGGGTCCTTGGCAACTGGTCATCCCTGCCTCATCCCTGGGGCAGAGACAATGTCTGTGCTGCTAATGATAATGTCAGGAACACACACAGCAGGTGCTTAATCCACACAGGAAGTAAGGGAGAGAGTAAAGATTTAAGTTCAGTTCCACCCCTATGAATCCTTTATAAAGTTTTAACCAGTGCTGCTGGTGGACTGGTTATGCTGGGCCAATGGGTTCACTTCTAAACCTTAGGATTTTAACATCGTCTCTCTAGGGAAATGGACATGCCTAGATGACAGAGAAATGTTAACAATCATCTAACACAGTAGTTTTCAAATAGAGACATTTGACAGTGTCTGGACACATTTCTGATTGTCACAACTGGGGTGTGGGTGCTATTGACATCTAGTGGGGAGAGGCCAGTGATGCTGCTAAATATCCTACAATACACAGGACATCCCCCCACGACAAAGAATTATCTGGCCCCAAATGTCAATAGTGCCAAGCTTGAGAAATCCAACAGCAGATGCACTTCTTGGAAGGAAACAGGAGGGTGATGGGGGACTTAAATTCTGGATTCCTCTTTCCAGTTCTTTTGCAATTTACACAATTGAGGGTGAAAGAATATCTTTATGAGAAATTTACTTCAAGGCCAAATGATTATGAGCTTGGGTTATGGAGTTAGACACCAAAAAAAACAAACTCACTGCGATGGAGTCAGTTCCAACTCATAGTGACCCCTCCTTGGGTTTCTGAGGTGGTATCTCTACAGAAGTAGATTGTCCACTCTTCCTTCTGAGGAGTAGCTGGTGGGTTTGAACCACCAGCCTTCTGGTGAGCAGTCAAATGCCTTTGGCACTACACCACCAGAGCTCCTGGGAGTTAGACAGATCTGGGTTAAAATTCAGACTCTGCAGCCACTCTCTCTGAACTTGGAAAAATATAAGCATCTGCTTTCTCATTTGTAAACTGGATATAGGAACAGCATCTACCACGTTGGGTTGTTGCAGAAATTAAATGATATAATGCATTCACTGTTTAGCAATTGTGTCTATCATATTCTAAGTGCAGTCAACCCTCGGTGTCACTGGGTTCCACATCCACGGATTCTATCAACTGCCAGTCAAAAAAAAATTGAGAGAGGGAGAAGCAATTAAGTGGTCAAAGCAATCCCTCAAAGGGTAAGAGGGAGTGAAAAGTGTTATCTACATAACATCCCCATTAGGTGTTATAAGTAATCTAGAGATTATTTAAATCAAATAGGAGGATGTGCGTACATTATATGCCAATATTACACCATTTAATATGAAGGACTGGAGCATTCATGGAGTCCTGGAACTAATTCCCTGAGGACACCGAGGGATGACTGTAATCAGCTAGGTTTCAAGTATGTAGAAGTCTGAATGATTAGAAATAAAAATATCTGTCAATTATCCAATAGAAAATATAAAAGGAAAAAATATCAGTCTTCATGTCTCCACTATAGGATAGTTCCCACATCTGACTGATTATCAGAATCATTTGGAAGGAAGTGAGTCAGGTAAACATCTGGGGATCTGGGGTAAGAGTGTAGGAGACAGAACAACTGCAAGGACAAAGCCCTGATTGGGAGCACTCCTGGCATGTTCAAGAAACACTAAGAGGGCTGTTGTGGCTAAAAGACAGTGAGCCAGGGGAAGAGTTTGGGGAGATAGATCAGAGAGGTAAGGAGACCAGATTGCTTGTAAACCTTAGTAGGTTTTGAACTGACCATTTTGGTTCTACCTTTAGAATGGACTGTAGTTGGGCAAGAGAAGGAGCCCTCGTGACCCAGTGCTTAAGTGCTCAGCTACTAACTGGAAGGTCGGCAGTTGGAGCCCACCAGCCACTCAATGGAAGAAAAGGCCTGGTGATCTGCTTCCATAAAGATTTACAGCCTAGGAAACAATATGGGACGATTGTACTCTATCCTATAGGGTCACTAAGAGCAGGAATTGCCTCGACAGCAATGGGTTATTACAAGGGACAAGGGTGGAAACAGAGAGACTCAGAAGGGTACTGTCACAGTCCTATCAGAAGATGGTAGGGTGTAAGATCTCTTTTTGGGGTGATGAAAATGTTCTGGAATTAGATTATGATGATGGTTGTGCAATTCTGTTTGCAACCGTATACTAGAAACTGGAATTGTACACTTTAAATGGTTGAACATTATAGTATGTAAATTAAATCACAATAAAACTATTTTAAAAATGAGAGAATGTATCTAACCAAGGACACATGGTACTGAGAGCTTAGCTGAGATTAGAAGACATAAACTTGTATCAATTTACATAATGATATGATTTTTGCAGACATATTCAGAAGCATACATATGGAAGTAAACAAAATGATCCAGAGTTGGAGCTTTGCTCAGTGGGTGCAATATAAAGGCAAGGATGGAAGGATGTTCAGGGTATTATGAGAAGTGAGTTCAGGTGATCCACTAGGGGGTTGAAGGATTCAGTCTGGATAACCAAAAACAAAACCAAACTCACTGCCATGAGTAGGTCCCAGCTCATAGTGACCCCTCCCTGGGATTCCGGGGCAGTATCTCTACAGAAGTAGGTTGCCCAACCTTCCTTCCGAGGACTGGCTGGTGGGTTTGAACTGCCAGTCTTCTGGTTAAATGCCTTAGGCACGATGCTACCAGAGCTCCCAATCTAAGGACAAGTGGAAGAAGAGGCAGAGGAGAGAGGTCAGAGAGATGCATGTGCTCAATTTACTGTTGCTGGTTTTGAAGATGGAGGAAGGGGGCCAGGAGCCAGGGAATGCAGGAGGCCTTTAGAAGGTGGAAAAGGCAAGGGAACAACAGATTCTCCTCTGAGCCTCCAGGAAGGAGTACAATCCTGTTGACACCTTGAGTTGAATCCAGTGAGACTTGCAACAGACTTCTGACCTCCAGAACTAAAACCAAAAACCAAACTCACTGCCATTAAGTCAGATCTGACTCATAGCGACCCCTCCTTGGGTTTCTGAGGTGGTATCTCTACGGAAGTAGATCACCCCACCTTCCTTCCGAGGAGTGGCTGGTGGGTTTCAACTGCCAGCCTTCTGGTTAGCAGTCAGGTGCCTTAGGCACTATGCCACCAGAGCTCCTGACCCTCAGAACTGTAAGATAATAAATTTGTGTTGTTTTAACCTTCAAAATTTGTGGTAATTTCTCATGGCAGCAGTAGAAAACAAATAGAGTAACTTCCTATATTGCCTCTGTATAATGCAAAGTAGGGAGCTCTGGTAGCATAGTGCCTAAGGCACTTGACTGCTAACCAGAAGGCTGGCGGTTCAAACCCACAAGCACTCCTTGGAAGGAAGGTTGGACAATCTACTTCTGCAGTGA